TTCCTCAAAAAAAAAAAAAAAGAAAAAGAAATTATTGGAAGCTACTGGTATTTATAAGAATGATGATTTGATAAGATTTGATTGAGACTTCCCAATCCATTTTGGTGAAACAGTGTTACTTATGAGCTAAGGGTGTCTTTGCTTCACTGCTAAGGTGAATTTTGCTTTGCCAGAGGAGTACCCATTATTGGATATTGAATTGACGAGGCATTGCAACTTCATCTTCATGTTCAAGCTAATAACTTGTTTTCTTCACTTTACTTTTATTTTTGGCCATCATTCTTCACTCTACTTTATTGGATTGGGTTTTTATCCTTTTCTAAATTCTTCTCTTCTGAAGAAAGATTTTACTGGGCATGTATTATTATGGTTTAGTGTGAAGCATCTCTATGATATATATATCTAAAACTTTTCTCTCTTGTATATATATGAAGGTCACCGTGGTAAGTGTCATTGAAGTTTGAATTTATGAAATTCTTCGGTTGACTATACAAGCTGAATGCCCTTTTTGTCTGTCAAAGAATACCTGTCATTGTATATTACATTCAACTGAGATTAGCATTTCATTAACAAGAATAAATTAGGAGACATCATTTTGTCCTTTCTTTTTCTCTTTGCCACAAGGTTGTTTGAAGCTTCTATTCATTATTTATTTTTGTGATATTAGGTTTGGGTTGTGGAATTGATGAGAAGTGATTCTGTAATCTGGTGCAGAGTGTTAATATCTTTCTTCATCTGTTTTGGTGTGTGCGATGGTCTGGATTGATGTAGGATGCAGAGATCACGTAGAGTTCTTCTCCAAAGGAGAGCTTTGGCAGAGGCTATCACTGGAAGGCATCGCTTATTCAAGGCTTCACTGTCTTTGGTTTTTATTCTGCAGGGGCTTCTTTTCCTCCTGTGTTCGTGGATTAGTCGTAGTGGTGGTTGTGGAGGTAAGCTTTCATTTCAAAGCTCGTAAGATACAACATTCAGTTTCTCAAAAAATGTTATCTCGTGGTCCAGAAGAAAAAGATGAATTATCTAACAATTTTTTCTATTAGTTATGAGAGGTGCCTTATTGCTTGGGCTGCACCTAAATTCTTGTTTTTGTGAGTGCTAGCCTTTTGCATCCTTACAGTCCTCATGTTTATCAATTTATTGGAATTTTAGACAGTAATATGATGAATTTATTTGTTTTCCCAAGTGTTGTCAGTGTTTTAATTGACCATTTACTACTGTCTTACTCTGAGTTTTATGAATCTTTTTCTGAAAATTTAAGTAATCTTGAAGTTTTAAATTTGTGCTTCAAAGTTCTTGTTACTCAATTGGTTTTGAAAAACTATAATGTAATTTCTGATTGAACAGAGTTTGTTGTTTGAATTGCTTCTTATAAACAGCATTTTTTCCTTTTACAATTTAGATGGATCTACAGCACTTGGCTCCTCAACTTGGGATGAAACTAAGATGGCAAATATGGGACATTCTGAGCTTCCAGATAAAAGTCTACCCATGGAAGCTCCCCATTTTTGTTCTTTTGATGGTTTACACAAAAATGGTGCTGAGATTAGAGGCCTCAATAATGAAGTGTACACAAGTGAAGAAAATACAAAGTCTGATTCCTCCTCGGAGCAACCTGGCATGGATAAATCCAGTTTAAGTGTAAAATTTGAAAACATACCTCCTAACTCTAATCGACTGTCTCATTCTGTGCCACTTGGCCTTGATGAATTCAAGGGTAGAGCATTCACTTCTAGAAGTAAATCTGGAACTGGTCAGACTGGAGGAGTGATTCATAGAGTGGAGCCTGGGGGTAAGGAGTATAATTATGCTTCAGATTCAAAAGGAGCAAAGGTCCTAGCATATAACAAGGAAGCAAAGGGTGCCTCCAATATCCTAGGTGGAGACAAGGACAAATACCTGCGGAATCCATGTTCTGCAGAAGAGAAATTTGTTGTTATAGAGCTTTCAGAGGAAACTTTAGTAAACACTATCGAAATAGCTAACTTTGAACACCACTCTTCCAATTTGAAAGATTTTGAGCTGTTTGGAAGTTTAGTTTATCCAGCGGATGAATGGACTAAGATTGGGAATTTTACTGCTTCCAATGTGAAACTTAGTCAGAGGTTTGATCTTCTGGAGCCAAAGTGGGTAAGATATCTAAAGTTAAATCTTCGTAGCCATTATGGTTCAGAATTTTACTGTACACTGAGTGTTCTTGAAGTGTATGGGGTGGATGCAGTTGAGAGAATGCTGGAAGATTTAATCTCTGTTCAGGATAATTTATTTATTCAGGAGGAAAGAACTGGTGACCCAAAACAAATATCTTTGCAGCAAGAATCTATTCGAGGTGATGATCTTCATCAAAATTCAAAAATGAAAATAGGGCCTGAGTCTTTAGGGGAAAACTTAAATGCACAACGTGACCACACAAGTACAAGCATGTCTGATTCAGTTGAAGAAATTCGTCATCAACAAGTGGGTCGGATGCCTGGAGACACTGTTCTTAAAATACTGATGCAGAAAGTTCGTTCCCTGGACTTAAGCTTATCAGTCTTGGAGCGCTACCTGGAAGAGTTAAATTCCAAATATGGCAAAATCTTGAAAGAATTTGACAAAGATATGGATAAGATGGATAGAGTTTTGGAGAAGATTAGATCAGACATAAAGTATCTCCTGAACAGCAGGGATACCATTGTAAGTAAATTTATTATTCTATTTAGTTTTTTCTTTTTCCACCTTGTTGTGGACTACTTCTAAGTTTTAACTGATTTTCTTCCTCTCAATCCCCTCTCCATCTTTTCAGGCTAAAGATGTTAGGGAGCTTGTCTCCTGGAAATCTCTTGTTTCTGCACAGTTGGATACATTACTCAGAGATAATGCTGATCTCAGGTTTCTTCCATCCCTTAATGACTAATTTCATCAAAATTCATTGCATTATAGTTTATGTCATAAGAATATTTTTTTGGCCAATATGTGATAAGAATTCAGTTTGAATTTACTGCACACTTTTTTTGTCCTATTGGTAGTATTACCACCAAATAGTCTTTGAACAATCTGTTTTAGGGATAAACAAAAAAAATTTGAAGCAAAAAATTAGTTTATGTAATTGTATGTTTTTCAGCAACTTCTGGTAATTTCAAATTAATAATTAACTGAAAATTAGAAGATTTGTATTTTTTCAGTTAAAGATCTGACCTCACCTCTGGGGTGCTTAACTGGACGAGCCAACCTCCAAGCACAATCAACACAGAGAGAGTGAAAATAATAAAAACTCTCTATATATTCCTTAAATTCCTTTTATTCTATTTTGAAAACTGTTGGATTAGATTCCCTTGCCATTCATGCTTTCATTTTCATCATGTTCCTTCTCCACCTCTGAAATAGAATTTGAGCATCAAATTTCTGTTATTTTCCAAAATTAACTTACCTTGCAAAATGATGCTTTTGTTAAAGAATATCCTTATTTAGATGATCCAGCCTCATATTTTAATGAAAAGACTGAAGTTTTCTTTTTCTTTTTTAATCAACTGAAATGACTGAAGTTCTTGGCTCTAAGAATAAGGGAGTTATCTATCCTTCTTAGACGTGATCAGCAGAGTAAATAAATAATTAAGCAGTGCCAGTTGCAATGATAAGAAATAACTATGGGTTGGCAAGATGATATTTATGGGTCTTATCTTTGAAAGCAATTTTATGAAGGCAATTTTATTATTGAGAAAGTGAATAGTTAATTGAAAATCAGTCTACTAAAAAATATGCTGAACTTGAACTTTAATTGATTTTTTTCAGCCTCAAAAAAAAAAAAAAAGATTTTTCTTGTGTTGGTTTGTTCTAATTGAAATTTCTTGATTGCATTTGATATTCCTGTTGCCAAACTCTTCTGGGTTCTTTAACACATGGTTCTGATGGTTGCTACTAATTTTCAGGTCAAAGGTGGAAGAGGTACAGGAGAAGCAAATGACAATGGAGAACAAGGGTATCATAGTATTTCTTGTATGCTTAATTTTTGGATTCTTGGCTCTTATGAGACTATTGGTAGATATGTTGTTGAATATTTACGAGATACTGTGCGATCAGAGAACAGAGAAATCCAGGAAATTTTGTTACATGAGCTCTTCCTGGTCCTGGCTCTTGTTACTGTGCAGTTGTTGCCTTATCATTTTAGTGCTTTCGTTTTAATCGTGCTTTTCTTAGATGCATTTACATCCTGAATTTCTGTCCTAATTTTTTCTGGGTTTGGAAATTATGCGAATATATTTTTTTGGTATATTTAATGATGATAAATTATATAAAAAAATAATTTTATTTATTTTTTAAATCTTTTCTCACACTACTTAATATTTAAATTTAATATCTCTAATTTAAAATATTAAATTTTAAATCATTGACCATCCCATTAGTAGTGGAATTTATTGGAGTACTGATAGATGATCGTATGTGAGCGTTTAGCAGATTTCAGATATTTTTATTTGGCTTAATTCAAAAAATCATCTACTAACTTTCAGTTTAATTTTAATTTCATTTATTATCTTTGAATTATTTCAATTCTGTCTATTATCTTTTATATTTATTTCAATTTCATCTAGGCAGTTAAAGTTAACAGAAATCCTAACGAATATCTTCTTAAACCTTAGTACTCTAAATATGTTTCTTTTAATCCTTTAGTCCTTAAATTTATATTCACAATAAAAATAGTTTTTATTCTTATTTTGCTAAATTTTTTTTCAGAAAATTATTTTACAGAGCAGACTGCTTTCAGTCCACCCTGTAAAATTATTTAAATACCCTTAATTCTATTTTTATATTATTTTTGTATGAACATTTAAATAATTTTATAAGACAGATTGTA